GACTAGACTTTTGACATAAGATTAAGCGTGAAAAAATATGATAAAGGAGACAAATACAGTGCCTAGAAAATTTTTAATTCAAAACAACTTGCTCTGATACCATGTAAATTTCTAACAATATGGATTCAAATCCAAAACAATAAATTTTCCCTTAATTTAATCCATTCTTTTTTTGTTGTACTCGGTCTCGGTATAACAATTCTTTTTTGGACTGAGTTATGACCTAAAATAACGGGGATTAGATCATCTCTAAAATTTGCGGGCACCCATTATAATCTTATGATTTTACGGTCCAATTTTACAGCTAGCGAACTTATTTTCAAAGGGTGTTTTTTAGCAAACCTAGCAACGTCTGCTTATCTTCTACTTATAGCGTTGAATAAAGGAGGACAGTTGATAAGGTCAGCTTTTGCTTTGGAGTTAGGCCATCAAAAGCAATGCATGTCCGAGTACGAAGTCTCTGCGGCTCTTATCTTGAACCCTAAGCAGTCCTTTCGGTGTATAATATGGGGTGATTAGTGCTTAATTAAGTTAAGTTAATCTCAGCAGTCATCCCCCAGAAAAGTCAAAATGATTTGGAAGAAATACAAATTGACCCGTTTTTGGAGGAAGGTTTTGAAATGATTGTGTGATTGATGATTTGCTACGAAAGCAATGGGCAAGTACGTCGGTCGCACGTACGACGACTATCGAGGTCTTTTGATGGCTTTTTCCACATATCGATGAGATGAAAGAAATTTGCCAAGGAGGGTTTGGTTCTTGAATATGTCCTAGATAGCAGACACGTCACGGATCTTGTTTATTTTGGTCTTAGGCTGTGCTCGTTTGCGGAAAAATATTTTTCCGGAAAATATTTTCCGCGTTTTCCGGTGTTCGGGGGCGGAAAATGTTTTCCGCCTTCCCCACCCCCAAATCCTTCATTGTTTTGAGGAAAATGATTTCCTCTTTTCACAAAGAAATCATTTTCCCTAAATTGAAGGCAAAATTGCCCATGGGAGGAAAATATTTTCCGTGGGAGAGGAAGTTGATCGCCGGTCACCGCCGTTGGCCGCCCGTCGCAGGTCGCCGGTCGCCCGCCGCCGCCGCCGCCGGTCGCCGGTGAAAAATATTTTTTGAAACTTTTTCATATTGATCGCCGAACACCGGAAAATTATGTTCCGGGAAAACATTTTCCAGAAAAATGACTTCCGGGAAAATATTTTCCAAAAGGAGAATATTTTCCGCGAAACGAACGGAGCCTTAGATTATTATAAAGTCTATACATAAAAAGCGGGTTTTGTAAACAAGTTCCTTGTGGCACTTGCTGAACACCTAATTAAGAAAGCTTATTATTTTCAATGACCGTCTATTTCGTGTTATGTGTAATCGGTGTTATAATAATGAAAGCATTTCTTTAAAGGGCGTCATTAATAAGTGATTCAAGAATACTGATCAACATAACCCATAAAAATTATTTATATTGTGTAAAACTAGGCATAAGGCTTCTGATCCTAGGTGTTGTAAATCCCTAGGAACTAAAGATATTTTCAAACACAAAAATGTATCTATGTATTTGAATTGCTCCGCTTTAAAGGGAATCTATAATCAACAAAAAAAAATACTAGTTCAATACTAAACTTATTGTGTAGACGTCAATTTAGTCGTAAAATTTCTAATTTTGCCAAAATAATCCTTAAATTTGCACTAACTTCCAATAAAATACTTCAAACCAATTGCCGTCGAAAATCGCTCATGCGACTATTCACATAGGTTGTCATGTCTAGTAAAGTTGTTTACATTAGCGTATCATATAGAATGACGGGTGATAATTGAACGTCACGTTAGTCGTTAGGCCAAAATTGATCGGAATAACTACATCCGAAACTTATAAAAAATGTTTAGGATTATATTGCAAAATTTGAAATATTTAGAACTAAATTGATATTTGTACAATAGATTTAAAACTAAATTGGTCATCCCTCTCTCCCTCCCTCTCTCTCCCTCTCTCTCCCTCTTTTACGTTTCAACGTTTCTCCGTCTCTTCAAATTCTGGAGGGGAGAGATTTGACCTAGATATCTTCCTCCCCTCCCTCATTGTTTTTCGTTCTAGTTTTTTTTGTTTCTTTCCTTGCTCTCTCGATCTAGTTTTAGATTTGGGAGTTTTGCTCTCCCCATATTAGATCTGGGAGCTTTTCTCTCATATCTAATTCTAGATTTAGGAGTTTTAATGAATAAGTACTCCGCCTCCAATTTCAATGGTGTTTACAACAACTTTTATGTTAAATTTGGGCTTATTCAACGTGTTTTTGTTAAAACCTTCGGAGTCTCGCACTTGCTAAAAGGCTTGTTCTCACAGGTGTTCAGATCTAAACTTCTTCAACATGTTTATGTTGACTTGTGATGGTGTTGGAGACGCCGAACCTTGACGCAAATCACCAAAAGGCAAAACCGTAACTACAGATAGAGATCTCGGCATGTGCTCATCACTGATGAAGATGTGTGATTTGATGATCGGCTACCGATCCTTTCGCTTAAATGCAGTTGCAAATCTGTTCTTGAAAGAAGAGCTTGTGATTATCTTTGTCAACTATGCTTTGATGATGTACCTTGATTTCTGATTTTTGGTTTGTTTTGGAGTTTTACAGACTTGCCTTGTTATGGTGGCTTTTGAGATTTTCTATGGATCATTTCATGTATTATTTTGATAATGAATAGAAATATCTTTTGACAAAAAAAAATCCTAACTTTCAATCTGAATGGAATAATTATATGTCACACGACATCAATATGACAAAAAAGATCATTTAGAGAGATATTAGTTTTCTTCCACGCATCGCAAAAAACGGGCATGTGATTGTCCATGGCCATCATTTATAAATGAAGGAATTTATTTGAGGTCTCTCAAAATTCATGGACTTTCATGGGTTTTGAACCTAAGTTCTATTGTGGACCTAATAATTTATTTCGTTAATTCTAGATGTTGTCTATGAACCAGGACCAATTAGTGTCAAGTCACTAAACATACTTATTTGTTTCATATGGAGACGGCTTTTGACATTTGAGTCTTGTTAACAAGTGCCCCCAAAGAAATTTGCAACCTCATTTGATGAAAAATTTAAAATATTGATTGTACATATCACGAGAGCAATTAATGACATTGATTCAATGCATTGAAAGTTATGATATTTCCTCGTTTGGTCGCTTAACAAGTGGTTACACACACTTTTTAACGAAATCCTTGATAATTTTAACAAGAATCGATCCGAGAGAATTCTCCGAAAGAAAATTCCTTGCAAAGTCCAATTCCAGCATTAATGACGTGGAAAATGGCGATGATGAAGCAAATGTGGCTCCCGTGGGGTTTTGAACTTAATGGTGGGAAGCTGCTTACGTGTCGTCATTTATGTCCATTGGATCCAGGTTCCAGCACGCACATTGAATGGGACACATCATTATGTGTGGATTTTGCTGCATAACTAAGTTGGATGGATATTGGGATGAAAATTGAATTCGAAGAGTCGATCTCTTGATTGAGCACACACTTGCGGCGCCGCCCGAAGAGTCAATTCACGTGCCGACTTTTGCTACGACCCATCTTCGAATAATCTCACGTTTCATCAAACGTGCGTCTGTGAACGAACCATCATGACAAGGACGAGAATGCGCTTGATGTCCTAATTTCGGAAATCATCCGTAATTGGAGAAAAGTAATTTTTTTTTAAGAAAAGGAAAGTTATGTCCATTTGAACACGTGGCCTCTTTTTTCTATTGTGATGGTTCGCGTTTTACCCTTTTAGGACACGTGTCCAAAAGAGATGGTTTTATTTTCTTTTGGGTTAATATCATGAAAACATCTAAACTAGTACACATGTGATAAATTTACCCCGAACTAATCTTTTTATCATCAAAAGCTCTAAACTGGTACACCTGTGATAAATTTACTCCAAACTAATTTTTTAATCACCAAAAACCCAAAATCGATACGCTTGTAACAAATTTACACTCCGTTAAATTGGATTAATATTACGAAAAATCACAAATTGGTAAACCCTTGACAAACAGAGGGCTAAAATCCAAAACTAGTATACACGTAATTTGCTACGTGTCATCCAATTCAGCAATTTGACTGTAAAATTTAACGGAAATTTACGAAGGGTAAATTTGTCACAAATGTACCAATTTGAGGTTTTGCATTGTTCTAACCATTTTCTTTTCATGTGAGTTACAAGTCTCACGCGAGGAGGAGAAATTAGCTAGTGCAATATATATTTCAGGGTTTGCCATATGAATTAATAATGATTATTGATCCACAAAAATATATCCTCGACTAACAACTAATTATATACCTCTACCGCCTCCACTCTTTGCAAAGCAAAATCAATTTATTGAGCACTTTATGGGGTAATTTTTCTATGTCATGTACATATTAGTATTGAAAGGTTTTTATTATATTTTTCATGAAATTGTAAAGTATTCTATATCCATACCATTAATCTAGACCTAACAAACGATATTCTATCAAGATTTCAATATAAACTGATAAATATAATGACAAAAGAAAAACACGTAGCTCATTCGAGTACATCCACAAACATATCGAGTTGTCCATAAAATGTCACGTGCTGAGATCGATTGTAACTCTAGCAAGCTCAAAAATTGAACGGTTTTCTGACAAAAAAATATTGAACGATTTATCTGAAAAGATCTCATCCGGTATCTGTAGTTCGATTAATCAACCGTGCCGATCATTTGTGCATCTCGCACAAGGAGCTAAACTAGCTAGTACGAACCTTAGATCTCGATTCTCGATTGCTTGGCATATTCCGTGTTCTATCATCTAATTAATCAAATAATTACCGTGAGGGCTCACTGACAAATTAAAGAGCCTAATCGGAGCTAAAAAGAGGATTAAAGTGCCCGGAAGTACAGTGATGGCGCAGGTACGTCCTTGTGGACCATAAACGCAAGCAAAGTCCTCTAATTTCTTCGTTTTTGGACCAATAGCAAAGTCCTCCCGATTCAATCAATTGATGAGCAGCTTTCTTGAGTCGTCAACTTCATGCAATTCAATGCACTTAAATCCTTCGTCCAAAAAAAAAATGCACTTAAAATCCAATTCAAATTCCTATAAATCCCCCAAATTAACCGCCTCTCTACTCCCACTACTCCCACTACTCACCTCTCTTCCAACTGCCATCAACTCCCTCACATCTCTCTCTCTCTCTCTCGCGGCCAAGAGGAAATGGCATTAACGATGAGTAGCCATAGCACTCTCGGTGTGACCTCGCTTCTCTTCATGGTGTTCCACATTGCCATCATCATCAGCTCGCAATCAGCCGCAATTGCCGTGGCCACGGCCGAGTATGACGTCATCTCTCTCGGGGCCAGGCCCGACGGCATCACAGACTCGACGCAGGCCTTCGTGGGCGCGTGGCTCAACGCTTGCGGCTCCGAGAGGCCGGCCACAATCAGTGTGCCGACAGGGCGGTTCCTAGTGGGAGAGGCCACCTTCAGCGGGCCGTGCAAGAATAACGCCGTCCGGTGGCGGATCCAAGGGGTCATCACGGCTCCCGCAGATTACAACGTGCTCGGGAATGCCTGGACGTGGCTCTTATTCCAACACGTGGACGGCATGTCCATCTCCGGCGGGGTCCTCGACGGGCAAGGCGCCGCTCTGTGGGCTTGCAAAGCCTCCGGCAAGAATTGCCCCACTGGAGCCACGGTACATACATATATATGTCTTTATTATAGTCGTTTGTAATTTCATTTGAATCACACAATAATATTGACATGAGTTTCTCCTAGTCTATATTGATCTCCATGATGCTAATGTTGCTAGAGTTATTTTGTCCAAGTATACTTTTCTAATACGTTCCAAACTTGCACAATACCAATCATAGCAAAGAACACATCCATAATCTTTTACAAAATATTTAATATTTTATGAACTCCTAGACCAATCATTATTTCGAAGATAAATAGATAAAATAATTAGCCTAAAGTATAATAAACAAGCAAGTGGTTTTAAGAAATAACCATCACAATTAGGGTTTTTCCTGCTTGTCAATCAAATGTGCTCTCTTTCGAGAAACTTACGTCTTGACTTTGTGGTTGTTTCACGAACAAATGATATTTTTTATTCTTAATTACTTGTTTTTGGGTGCATGCACACGAACGACTCTCTAGACAATACTCTTCAGCAACTCAAGGAACATTGCGGTGAGCAAACTGATGTCGCTCAACAGTCAGCTGTTTCATATTGTCATCTACGAATGCCAAAACGTGAGGCTGCAAGGAGTGAAGGTTTTCGCCTCCGGCGACAGCCCGAACACGGACGGCGTTCACATCCAATTTTCTTCCGGCATCACGATCATGAACTCGAGAATCGGAACCGGCGATGACTGCGTCTCGGTCGGCGCCGGCACCACAAACCTCTGGATCGAAAACGTTGCGTGCGGCCCAGGCCACGGAATCAGGTAATTATACTCGCTAAACCCCAGAAAAAACCACAACTGGAGAATATTAAATTTGATAATTAACTTAGCATTCACGAAAGTAACATGTACCATAAGGTGAGGCCAAAATGTCAGGCCTGTTTGAGGGATTTTGACTCTTGCTTTAACTTTCTCGCCGAGACCAAAATATCGTATCATATTTAGAAAGAAAACATGAATGAATAACACGTTACTCAAAATAACTTGAAATTAGAATCTTCTTACATTTTGAGCATTCGAGTCCTTCCAATTTAGAAAAAAATTGAAGATCTTTAACACTAAAAGTAATTAATTGATGCAAGAAAGGTTGTGGTTTAAGTAAAAGATGGTAATTAATTTTATTTTATTTTGGAATTTATATAATATATTGGTTCATGAATTGTACACAGCATTGGGAGCCTAGGGAAGGACCTTGAGGAGGCAGGGGTTGAGAACGTGACCGTCAAGAACGTTGTGTTCGGAGGGACACAAAACGGGCTGAGGATCAAATCTTGGGGCAGACCCAGCACCGGATTTGCCAAGAACATCCTCTTCCAACATGCCATCATGTCCGACGTTAAAAACCCGATCGTCATCGACCAGAATTACTGCCCCAACAGTATAAATTGTCCTGGTCAGGTATGTGTTGAGGACATTAATCAATCGATCGATTAATTTGTTGTTCGCGTGTAATAAATGTCTAAAGAGTCGGTTATCAACAAAAAAAAATGTCTAAAGAGTCTTTTCTTCATTAATTCGAAAGTTGACATGGATCACCCTAGATTTGGACAAGTCGTATTGGGTTAGATTCATAATGACATATATATTTGGGTAACCGTCGTTATGAACAATAATGCCTGCGACCTAGCAATGATCCTAGGGAAAACAACATGATTGAATAGATCATAGCTAAATCGAGATCGATTCGTTCTACCGTGATTTAATCATTGCGAGAACTCGTTTAATAGCTAGTAGATTAGTCCAAAGGACATGCAACTACCATCAAAACCATCATAGAGTGAGATCATGCAAGTTATTCTCACCGTAAATCCATCTATATTTACGTCAGTAAGAAAATGAAACAACCAATTGATTTTCATTTTTTACCAATTTTACTACACCGATCACAGTTCTAGTGTCATTCAAAACCCCGAAAATGATTAGCTCAAATGCTCCGTTAAACCGAAGTTCATTGCAATGAGCCCACGCATAATTTTGCTTTTATTTTCTCCATTTTTCCGCGTCCATTTTTGGGGTTTATATATACAGTTTGTCTATTCTTACCGCTTCTAACATTGATGTCATCCAAACAGTTTTCGGGCGTGAAAATTAGCGACGTGACGTACCACGACATTCATGGGACGTCGGCGACAGAAGTGGCCGTCAAATTCGACTGCAGTCCGAAGAACCCTTGCACAGGAATAAGATTAGAAGATGTGAAGCTCACCTACAAGAACGATCAACGACCGGCTCAAGCTTCCTGTGTTAATGCTGGTGGGCTGGCCTTTGGCCTGGTCCAACCCTCCAGTTGCTTATAGTGCAAAACATTGAACATGATCAATCTGAGTGTTGTAATATATGTACTGTGGAGAAGTAGAAATATATAGTGGTAATAGATTGCATGTATCTTGTGAATATTGCTTGAGCATGTGGCTGTTTCCCACCTTGATTATGAAAAGGCCGGTCTGAAGCCTGGCCTTGCAATGTTAGCTTTGTACTAATTGTTTGCCGTATTCAACTGATCGATGAAATACACAAGGGTTTAAGTAATAGATACTGTTGAAAATGACCTCGGAATTATTACGAGGACTATACAAGATAGTGACTATCGATCACGAGGATGATATTGTTTCTGAGTATCATACAATACCCTTAAGTTCGCGTTTCATGTCGCACGCACCTAAGGGCACGGGGAATGACTTGACACGAGAAGTTGCGAGACAAGACCGCGATGTTCGGGTGAACACTAGTCGGATCTCCACGCATTGCTCTGAGCCTGTTTATGATCGTAATATTCTGTAAAGGTACATGAAATAATTAGCGGATCATAGATTTATATTTTAAGAAAATGAAAAGAAAAATTATTTAATCTCTATTATGTTGCCAGCCAAAAATAGTTATAAGTAGGATCTTATGAAGAAACCAACGAATTTATGAGAAGTTCTGCTACTACCGATATTAATATCGTTTAATCAATCTTATGATTACATTGTTTTATCAGCTTAAGTAATTGACTCTCTCGAAAGATAATAGGATACTTTAATTATTCAATTACGTGTATCACAAGGCATAAATCATAACAGATGCTGATTAAATACTTCAATTAGTCCAATAAAAACAAATCAACACTGAAGGACGGCTACTTGCAATTCGTTAGGATAAAAGACATTTAGCTATCTAAATCTCTACACCTGTCCAATTTACGGGCTAAAGATCAAGGTCAATTTATATGCTCACTATTGTTAATAACACTATTTCACTAGCATGTCATAGAAATAGACTAAATTAAATTGAACATGTAATGTAAATTTGGTGGTAAGTAATTTGATAAGACCCATTTTGTGTTAGTTTCGGTTAAATTCGAACACGACTATATTCGCATATAATAAGCAATTAGCATAAAACCTAGACATCAATTTAAAGTTTCATAATAGTCATTAATAACAAAAGAAACATAGATTGAAAATAAAATAAACCTTTGCTCATAAAATTAACCTTGCTTTTTTATCAAAAGAGTGGCCGTACTCTCGTGATTTCATTATAGTACACAAGCAGTATCACATCAACTCTTTAAGAGGAACAGCGGGCTGATAAAAGACTGCTTAACCACCCAATCCTTGGGGCATGGGCTAGGGTTAATCTCTGAAATTCATCCAAGAAATCTTTACAATCTCTTACAATATTCCTCATCTCCCAGGAAACTGCGGTTGTCTTTGAGGATGCACTTGTCTAGGGTAGAGTTATCTGACTCGAGGAAGAGGTTAGTTTGCTTTGTGCCACCAAGAAAATCGAGGGTTTCAAATAAAGCGCAAGTTTCTGCTTGTAACGGTGAAGAGTAGTTGACAATTTTTTTCCATTGATTAGAACACCTCTCCGGTCTCTGCAGATGATTGCCGCGGCGCCTGGCTGAATATCTCCACGAAATGCAGCATGGAAATTCACTTTGATCGAGCTCATCATCGAAGGACGCCATGCAGCAGGAGGATCACTTCATCGAGTTTGAGTCAGAAAAGTGGCACAAAGGGACATCGAAATATCAGCAACTGAGGCAGCATCTGGTGTGGTGTCTTTGAAGATGAAGGTACTTCCAGCCTTCCATATATACAACATAGTAGAAGAATTGAGCTCGGGCGACGGAAAGATCTTACCTTCTCTCTTTTCTTCAACTTTTTCGTAGAAACCAGTTTTGAATTCGTTTGGAGCCCTATGAATTGGACGGGGGATCTTAAGATACGCAAGGTTCGAGACATGTTTTCTGCACGCACAGGTGCTCCGCGATTTCAACTTCTTGCTGGCAGAGGGAATACATGGGAGAAGGTTCGATCTGTCGTTTTCTTTTTTCCAGATTCTCAAGCTAGGTCTAGCTAAGAAATGCAAAAGCGAGTTTGTAAACATAGGAAAAGTTGACAAATCAAAAGAAAATAAAAAACCAAGTAAATGTCAATGAGTAACTCGAATGAGAGTTGATGATCTCATACTATGTAATAATTTAATAGGAAAAATTAGCGAGCCACGCTAATTTGGGTTGATAATTTGTAAAAAGATATAGTAAATGTAAAGAGTTGCTAAATAAGGCAAATAAACTTTCATGATATATAAAAAAAATTAACTAAATGCCAATAATTAACTCAAAAATGAGAGTTTGTGACTCAAAAAAAGTTGATAGCTTAATTTGACAAAAGTTGATAAGACACCAAAATTGATATAGTTGATTTCGTATAAAAATAAAGTAAACTCGGAACATTAGTAAGTTAAGTGAATAAAAATTGGTAAGCTAGCACAAAATTGCTAATTTGCAACTATAAGAAAAGATTAGTGATTGCAAAAAAGTATTGATAAATCACCAACAATCTATCTGGAAAAAAAGTTACTAGTCATTTTTTTGTACATATAGTGTTTTTGACTCTTTCCAACATTAATTTAAATGTAACGGCACGAAAAGAAATCCTTATTTTTGGGCAAGGACCAACAAAAATCCACCTCCGAAAATTAAATTTTTGGGGTAAACTAGTCTTCTAGCTGTTGAAAACTATTTTGTTAGGTTTTTTTTTGGTAACTCTTAATATTACGTTATGTGATGTAAAGTTCCAGTCCCAGCAGCACATACGCACGTGATTACGTTAAAAAATTTGGTCAAAACTCAGATTAATTGTTTCGAAAAGTAATGAATGGCAGCTTCCACATGAAAACAAAATCGTACACTTCAACACCATAGTTGATTCGACTGTAGATGATTGATTAAACATTGCTAGTGTGTCATATGTCAATGCTTGGAAAGATTAATTTCAACGAGTATTATTCCATCTTCGATTTGTACTCTGATGTTATCCACGTAACGATGAACTCATTCACCCATTATTACTCAAGCGCTGACGTAAACATGCGGCTGCTTCATTCATCCCTATAAATACACGCACGAAAGGTAAACAAGAGGCAACCAAAAATTTAGAAAGAAGGCCAAGAGAAAGAGACATTGTTTTGCAGAGTTGAACTTTGGGAAAACAAGATTGAGATAGAGAGACAGAATGGAGAAGAACAGTACAGCTTCGTGTGAAGTGATCGTGAGGAACAGGCAGGTGATATTGAGGGAGCATGTGCGAGGTTTCCCGAAGGAGGTGGACATGGAAGTGAGAGATGGCTCGGTGAAGTTGATGGTGGAAGATGGTTCATCGGGCGCCATGTGGGTGAAGAACTTGTACCTCTCTTGCGAACCCAAAACCCGCCACCTCATGGACACCATTCGCCCCGGTTCTGTAAGTACGAATAATGATGTTCTGTGTCGTAGCAATAATCGCAATTGTGTGTTTGTGCTTAATTTGATTCTGAAGTTGTATTGGCGCATTGAATGTAGCCAATCACTGGATTTGGAGTGGCCCGAGTTGTGGACTCTGCGAATCCGAAGTTCAAGAAAGGCGACCTGGTTTGGGGGATCACCGGATGGGAGGAGTACAGTCTAATTGCTTCATCGGAGACTTTCTTCAAGATCGAGCACACCGACGTTCCTCTCTCCTACTACAATGGCCTGCTCGGTATGTTATTGCTCAGCTCATGTGGTTTCGTTCTCAATGCTAGTTTATGACTAAGGCCAATAAACCTATCTGAGTCTGTTCTTCACATATCGGTCCTCCGACTCTCTCTTCACCGTCCTTTTGCTTGTCATGTAATATCCAACTTTTATCGATTCCGCAGGCATGCCAGGTTTGTCTGCTTATGTCGGTTTTTTTGAGCTGTGCTCTCCTAAGAAAGGAGAGTCTGTTTACATATCAACAGCTGCAGGAGGAGTAGGTCAGCTCGTCGGGCAGTTTGCGAAATTGCTCGGTTGTTACGTCGTAGGCAGTGCCGGTAGCCAAGAGAAGGTAAATCATTTGCACATCATAACATGAGTCCTACCGTGCAATCTTGTTAGCCGGTCTCTTGATTCAATTCTGTTTAAATTTTTCTCTGCATTATATTACACGAAACAGGTTGATTTGCTCAAGAACAAATTGGGGTTCGATGAAGCTTTCAACTACAAGGAAGAAGCGGACCTTGATGCAGGACTGAAAAGGTCATTATTTGCATATGAGTTAAATGATATATTCTGAATGATGCACAAACGTGTATTTGATATACTAATTTATCGTCAACTTTTCGGTGTTTCATCTTTAGATATTTCCCCGACGGGATCGATATCTACTTCGAAAATGTAGGGGGAAAGATGCTGGACGCAGTGCTGCTCAACATGAAGAGCCACGGCCGAATCGCCGCGTGCGGGATGACCTCGCAGTACAACCTCGACCAGCCCGAGGGCATACACAACCTGATGAATCTCGTCCTGAAACAGGTCCGGATGGAAGGCTTCCTGGTGTCCAGCTACTACCATCTCTACCCAAAGTTCCTCGAGACGGTCTTGCCTTACGTCAAACAAGGAAAGATCATATACACGGAGGACATCGTTGAGGGGCTCGAAAACGGCCCCGCGGCTCTGGTAGGGTTGTTTTCAGGTCAGAATGTCGGGAAACAGGTGATTGTGGTTTCGCGAGAATGAGTCACTTAAAATTGTATATTCTGTTTTGTTGGGTATTGTATGCAAGGCTTCTCTAGGATGTCGATTGTGAATGCGTCTCCTTGTACCGGGCCATATTACCTATAAATAAAACTGGCTTCAGATGTACCAAACAGCAGTTTTTTCCTCTCCGAGCGTGTGCACATGCACGGATGAATGTGCATTGACGATGTCCTCCTGTAACTCGTTAAGGGAAGAACTTTAGTGATCCCCGTAACATATTCAAACCCTGAATTTGGACATACAGCTAAACTAGCCCGCAGGGATGAATGTGCATTGACGATATCTGCCTGTAACTCGTTAAGGGAAGAACTTTAGTGATCACCGAAACATATTTGAACCCTGAATTTGGACATACAGCTAAACTAGCCCGCCAAATCAACCGTGGTGGCAATCCAAACATTCGGCAAGCTTGAGTCTGTTTAACATGCCCAGAGTTACATTCTGCATCCTTGAAGAAGAGATCTGAATTCGGAGACATCTGCTTTCGAGCATCTGCGTAAGTTCCACCAAGAGGTCACGTGCTAACGTCGAAACACAAGCACAAGCACGACCGTCTCGAATTTCAAATCAATGTAATGGCATTTTCCATACCATTCTGTATCCGGAATAGCTAATATGAGATTCTTCAAACGATAAGCTAGGCGGTATCAGTGATTAGAAGTGTGCGAGGTTGAGTCCTGAGGCCAACCACTCTATCTTCCTATGTAACTCCAGTTGAGAAATATAGGCGCTACACAGTTCGTGGCCAATTAGAGGTTCAAATGACACTGCATTTTCACAAAGCATTCTCAATTACTTCCCCCACAAGAAGAGTACCGAACCGACATGAGAAACGCAAATCAGGTACATGGAGCGGGACGACTGTGGGGAGATACTCTCAGAGCGGACCGTCTGGTGTACTTATTTCCCGGGTTTGGTAATAGACATCTCGTTCTCGCCTTTACATGACTAACCGATCTGGAATCACTGCTTGTACTATTTCTCTGCTTCGGCACTCAAACTTCTGCTTCGATATTTTACCTGTCAATCATGCATTCTAAGTTCGACCAAAAAAAAAAAATCATGCATTCTAAGGCTTCTTACTTCTCATACCAAATTAATGTGAGGTGGTGTCAACTGTCAAGTTACCTATAATAAGCAAGTCGTCTTTGGATCGTTTGTTATGAATAAATTAACCGACAGGATTGTGTTTAGATTGACTTATACAATAATATGCACTTGCCATGACGTGGAATAAAGACTGATTATGAACACTGATGATGCAGAGTCTTTCCCAAGCTCCCTTGGGCTGCCTTGAACCACTCGTGGACTGGGTCAAACCATGCGCCCTAAGCAAAGGAAGCCTCGGAGACTTGGATTCAGGAGGACTTGCCGATGCTTAAATCAGCGAACGAGGAATAAAGAAGGAAAGAAAGAGAAATGTGTCAGAGAATTTATCTAGGGAAGAGAGGCAAAGGGGCAAAAATGTTCGACAGATCGCGTGGACCAGAAACGAAGATAGCTCATCGTAACTTAGTTGTAGAGGTGATCATGAACCAGATGGTCCAATGTAGCCGTTCGGGCCTAGTAGGCCTGAACCGCACAATGAATGTAGCCCTTTGGGCCTAGTAGGCCTGAACCGCACAATGGTCATGTCTAATTAAATTGCTCATTTTTCGGTTTGGCTTGGCTAGGCCTAGTTAGATCCGTTCGGACGCAACCAATTGAAAATTTAATATTTTCTAATCACGGCTCGAGGACATAAAAAGAAGGGAAAATTTCATTTTGGTACCTAAAGTGGGGGCCTTTTCTCAATTTGGTATCCAAAGTGGACATAGTCTCAAATTGGTATCCAAAGTGCCCATTCGATCTCAATTTGGTACATGAGTTCGCCGTAGGTCAAATGCTCATCGTATTGCCAAGAAATTCTTGTTCCGACTCGGAATCTGTATTTTTTACTTTTTTTTATTTTTTTATTTTTCTGTTTTTTTTTCTTTTCCTTTTCCTTTTCTTTTTTTTTCCTTCTTCCCTCCGCCGGCGGCTATAGCCGGCGGAGGTCGCCGGTGTCGGCCCTCGCCGGCGTCCCGGTGCGGGCGGCCCTCGCCCGGGCCGGGCGAGTGGTCGCCCTCGCTGCGTCGAGCGGTGGGCCGACCTGGCGAGGGTCGAGGATGCAGCCGAAGAAGCGAGAGCAGTAGGCGAGAGAAGAGAGGAAGTTGGAGAGGCAGACGAAGTGGGAAGCCACGAACTGATCCTGCTCAAGCCCCATGACGATGATCTGGGCGTGCAGCTGGTGGATGTGGGCGGAGTTCTTGCAGGACTTGAGGAGGGTGACGATGGACGGCAGCTTGGCGGAGGTCGCCGGCGAGGGCGACCCTCGCCAGATCCGGCGAGGGTCGGCCCTCGCCCCCCCAAGCGAGGGCGGCCCTCGCCCGACGCCGGCAAGGGCCGACGCCGGCAACATCTGCCGGCCACGGCTATGGGCGGCGGAGGGAAGAAGAAAAAAAAAAAAAAGAAACGGAAAAGGAAAAGAAAAAAAAAAAACAGAAAAAGGAAAAAGAAAAAAAAATAAAAAAGTAAAAAAAATCTTTCTTAGGTGCGAACAGTAAATTTCTTGCCAGCCGGTGAGCATTTGACCGGCCGGCGAACTCAGGCACCAAATTGAGACTAAATGGGTACTTTGGGTACCAATTTGAGAAAATGCCCGACGTTGGGTACCAAAATGAAATTTTCCCTAAAAAGAACAATTTACCCAATTCATTATGCCAACACTAAGTTATGAACTCTCGTGTGCGTTGGGCTAATCAGGCACCAGTGTTTCGTAAGTATTTTGAAGAGCTCTCTGTTTAGGCTGAACCAATCAGAAAAGGAACACTATGAAACCTAAGCCCAAACTCACCAGGACACGCTTATTGATCCCGGGGGTTTTCTTTGCATTTCGCCGTTGCTAAGGTTCGATTTTTTGTGCAAACTTCCACAGAAAGTGTTGTACCATCCAAACACTTGAAAATCAATGGTCATGGTGCATTGCTGCAATACATTATGAGAGAGTCATGATATGGAAACAACCTTGATTATGATAAGCATAAGGATGAAACCAAGTCGAGTCTCTCACGAGCCTTGTACTCGAGTGAAATGTAGTTTTTTTATGGTATTCTTAGAGAGATCTAATAATTGTACAAACAGATCAGTGAAAATTACATAGTATTAGAGCTTAAGTTTGAGCTCGAGCTCAAGCTCGATCTCGATTTTATTCATGAGTTAATGGTAATTGAGTGGAGCTCGAGTATTTATATTTTCAATCTCTAATCAAGTCGAGTTCGAACATAAATATCAATACTCAAGCGAGTTCAAGTCGAGCTTGAGCACCGAATGTATGACTGTACACCCGCACTTGAAGACCGTCTAATGTTTTTCGTCTTCTGCATGAATCTTTCGCTTTGACCTTTGTCCTTCTGTCTTCTGAATAATCGCCTATAAAACAGAAGAAATCATTCCCATTTCCTCTGGACGTGAATCGTTATGCGAAAGTGTACTTTCACACCATTCTGGGTCGTGTCCATTCCCTCTGCCATACTCGACCCGGCGACAAAAGCAGAGCCTCCATACAGCAAGAAGAGCGGCGTTGTTAACAACGGGATCGCTCTGGAATACGCCAAAACGTTGTCGTGTTCCCCCACACATCGCTATAGTCATCGTCATCGTCACCCGTCAACTCTTCCCACGTACTCGGACAGACACAAAGCAGAACAAAAAGGGTCCTCTTTTGTCTCGCCATTCAAGGCTTCTGCACCCGCGTTCTCGGCTCAGTCCATAAGAACGGTACGCCATTCGCACACCACAACACCTGCTCGTCTTTCTCTCTTCTGGGTGTTACGCGTTTCGTCCAAAAGGAGTGGCGGAGAGCGATGGCGGGTGGGGATGGCGAGGGAGTGAGGAACAAGCAAGTGATATTCAGGGGCTACGTGAGTGGTTCCCCCGAGGAGACGGACATGGAGGTGCGCGAATCCACCGTGGAATTGCGAGTCCCGGAGGGCTCCAGTGGCGTTCTCGTGAAAAATCTCTACTTGTCCTGCGATCCTTACATGAGGATTCGCATGAGGAAGCTCTATATCCCCGGTTACCGCGATTCCTTCGAACCTGGTTCGGTGAGCAAGCCTAAGTCTTTTCGTGTCAAATTCTTTTCGTTTCCAAAACAGACTATCGAAAAAGAAAAATGGGTCATCCACTCGGCGTCAGCGGGTCTTCCTCGTTGTTGAAACTGGGGGAGGTGCTGAACAAAATGAGCTCCGAATGTCGGATGATGTGGGTTTTGTTGAGTATGATATTGTGTTGAATTTTTGTCCTTTTTTTTATTTTGACCACTTTGCTCTGGGGATTGATTATTTTGTTTCAGGAGAAAGTTGTGGTGTCTCTGCTGGTGATTATGTCAAATTGTGCTGTTCAATATGATTGTAGCGACTCTGCTCTATTTCTGTTCATTCTGCCTATCATGGCTAAATCTTTTTTATCTCTGTAAGTGCGATCCAATTGGTGGTGCCTTTGAAATTGTAGAAATGGTTTGCGATGTCGCCCAAAAATTCAGAATATGGATTAAAGAGCTTAGCGTGTCGAAAGAACCTCACTTATGCTATTTGGCGTAGAGTTTCACATGTCTTTCGTTTGCACAGCCACATAAATCACGGTGTTAAACGATGTGAGTTGCTTAACCCTTCCATCTATGTGTCAGCATGATGAATGGTGACAGATAGCTTGCACGTGAAATAGGACGATGAGATGTATTCATTAAAAGATAAAATAAACACAGCTCTGGAATAAGCAGAGTTTTGTTTCCATCCTTTAGCATATTGCTTCGGATTCTAATGTATTGCCGTGAATTTCACTTCTATTCCTGCTGAGATGTTAAAATTATGCTGCTCTTCTTCTAGGTTTGTTAGAAGTTATATTAAGTGTTTAGGGAGCTGCATTTGACTTAGCTTACTTCAATATGACTGGAGCTGCAAACTTTTAAATTGAAAGGGTTTCTGGTTATTGCAGCGTATTTGATTATGAAATTCTTTTCATTTCCAATCATCCTTCTTGGGAGTTCAATGTCTATTTGTGTTTGCTAAATGTGTTTCCACTTATATTCTGA